CATTTGTCCTTGAGACGATCCGACCGACGAACTTCGCAATTAATATACCCTTATACCGAACGCGGCTAGTTTATTGCTGTAAATGTTTTATTTTAAAGAAAATATCTCTGAATTGTCTGCAGAGTTCGTATAGGTCAGTTTTTTGGGTTAAATTCTTGAGAAGTCGTCTGGATGGTATTTTTTTTATTATCATTAGTAGCAACAAGGCCATGCCAACACAGCCTGTCTTACGATAAGGTATCATAGTAGTAACTTCTGATAGTTATATCAGAAGTTACTAAAAAAGGCATCACAAATTCATTGTGGACTGTGTTAGAAACTATATATAGGCATCATTGCATCAAAGGTATAGGATTCCCCAATTATGTAAAAACATTAATGTAGGATATAATGACTTATAGGTATATGATTCTAGGCTACAGTTAATTTATGGTTTAGTTGTCTTTATCGTTGGGTATATCCATGAAATCATCAACTAAACCTAAATAAACTCGGTGCCAACATACTTAGGAAATACCCAGGACGAGGAAAAATGCAGCACAATTCTGGACTGCATGTTAGTTTTAAGAATGGAATACCAATACAATGCTTCGACGAAGCAACTTCCTTTTTTAGTTTTACTTTTCAGAATATTGATTACCTTATTTTTTTTTCAATAATTAATATTCGGATACTCAAATGAAAATTCAATTTTAAGACACACTCAAAACTATTTCTATCACTGCAGTAGCTTTATGCTAAAAATTAAGTAGCATTTCAATAGAAAAACGCCCGAAGCGTTTAACATCTAATTTAAGACCTCTTTACCGTAAAACTACTTACCAAAATCAAATAAAAAATCATCCTTTAACATAACACAAAAACAATACACAACTATATGCACCATATATGTATAAATAAGTATGTAAACACAAGGCACGTTCCTCTGCAGTCTACATAATATATGTAAGTCTTTTAAATAAATTCCCGTCACCCGAACAGGGCGACAAAAAGTCAAGGAATTCTCATCGAACTGTAAACATCTTACTTTATCTCACCTTTGTACTCAGAGGGGGTGGGTGTAAGCCACCCCCACACATCAAAGATTGACTCGAAGGTGCTCGTGTAGGAATAGGTCTTGTCGTAAGATGAGCGAGGTATGGTTAGAAATTAATGTTGGAATCAAAATAGACGAAAATCTACATCTTTGGAGGATTGATTGCAAGTGTAACTGCCGAGCAAAGACCTGAGTTTCATTCCAGGGTCAAGTGCTTTTTATTTTAGGGGGGAAAATCAAATCATCGAATGACTTCTTCCGCCTGGGTGAGACGGCAGGGAGTGTCAGACTTTTACTGACTAAAAACCACACCATTCCTACTCCTGCACTTCGAGCCGGAGACCCGGTAACCCGTTAGATTCTCCGCGGCAGGGTCAAGTGCTTATAGATACGTTAGGATGTGTTAGTCTTTCGACAATATTGTCGAGTTTTGTGTTGTTTTTATATAAACAATCAATCAATCAATTAAAGCTCGATTTTATGGACAATTTCGGCCATGCAATAAAAGCCAAACACCGCACAATGTCCAAATTACAAGTGAGTACTAAAATCGGCAAATCTATTAAGTATTTACCAACAAACAATAAATATGCGGCTTTTAGATAAAACCACAACGTCACAGTAAATTCATTTGCTAGAACTGCTCAACATATAAGTTTAAGCATATCATTCAATCTAGTTAGTTAAAAATTTACGAGCTAAATACTCAGTACTTAGTGTTTAGTCATAGTGCATAAGGTCTTTAGCCTTCATATGGACAAAGAACCAACTACTGTTTTGAAATTGGCCAATAAATTGACCCTATCATCATCTTTGGACCCGATTTGGATATAATTGGGACTGATGGGAACTGTGATAGTTTTAACTGCAACAATAAAATTGTTCCTTTTGTGGTTTCTGTTCTTGGAGGTAAAGTTAAGACTTCTTAGATTTGATTTTATTACGACTGTTGAATACGAATGTTCGGGATTGATTCTTGAGATTTGTTTTTTTTCCTTGTTGCTTCTAGTTATTTGTAGTTGTGTCTTTGCTTGGGATTGGAAGTATCATGTTGTTCCATTAATATGAAATTATTAAAGTTATTGCACGATTGTCGCGGTGGTTAAACCACTAGCTGGCATGCAACGTGTAGTGAGCTTGGAGCTACTCTTTGTGTGATCGACAAATTTTGTTTCGGCCCGCCACAACCTACAAAAACCGCTGCAACTTCTGTAAGCCAGGATTTATAGTAGACACAACCATGAAACCACTGGACCAATGAAGTCCGGCGCGTCGTAGGGACATGAATAACTGTCTTGGTTCACGCAACGAAGTGAATCAGAAGGTATTATAAGAGGAGAAGAAAAACGATTAAAACATAAGTTTGGAGTCTGCAATAGTCCATGAAAATATTTTTCTACCACCCGTATACCACATCTGCCTACCCTTCTTACAGTTTCAAACCGTGATATCAGAAACCAAGTACATGACCATTATTACGTAACCTAACTTGGAGACACTTTACGACGATATCTTAACAAAGGTCAGCCGCCAAATGAAAGATAGACCCGATCTAAATGAGTGCTGTCTAGCTCATCTCATTTGGCGCCTAAACCTTACCCTTAGAACATTTACATGAAAATAGAAGACTCGTTTGACCCTTTTTCGTATCCACTATTTGTTTTATTTATATCCTTCTGTCTTGTCAATTTACTTCTGAATGTTTCAGGTTTGAGTCTCGTTTGCACAGTGAATATTTATAAGGTGGATCGGGAAATACGGATGTCAGAATTTGATCTAGTTTCTTTTGTTCAATGAGATTCTGGTTAGTGTAGTGTTGGTGGTGTATTAGTCATTGACATGATTTGTAATGGTTTTTTTTAACGCGTTAAGAATAGTGTTTTACCATTTAAATAGACCTAATAGTAATCACAAAGTTTCTGATCTGATTTTTGATCACATAATAGAACTTATTTGTAACATGAGTGTGGGAGAGCAATGCTTCGACACGAATGGGCCAGCTCCAGCGGAGTGATACCACGGCCGTACAGAAAACCGACGTGAAACAACGTTTGCGTTATGTTTCGTCGTATGAGTGAGGTTACCGGAGGACCAATTACGGGGATAATTGGTTCTACGCGCCTAAGGGAGATTCTTTTATCCCTGAATCCCCAGCAATCCTCAAATTCCTAATCCCCTAAAGGTGTTTTAAGTGTCCATGGGCGAAGCCGATTGCTTCTTATCAGGTGATCCGTCTGCTCGTTTACAGGCTTATCCCATAAAAAAAAACATATTTGGCAGAAAGTGAGTGACAAGTGGCAGAATCAGAAAAATAAATTCTATCAAAATCTCGCAGTTTCTATCAAACCGTGTCGGTCGGTTCCTACGAGCTACGAACCCACGGGAAGACTAGAGATAGTCACAAATATATTCTAGTCTGTCATCAGATTACTACAAAATACACCTCTGCTATTATTGGATTAAATGTCAAACAAATATAATATTCCATCAATAAATAATATTTTGTAATAGAATTCAACAAGCTCTTTATAATATTAGTGCAGTTATATCGGCCGGAAAATCCCTGGCAATGGGATTACCTAATTGGCTTAGGGCTGGCAGTGGTTCACAAATAGTTTCCTCAAATATTATAATTTCGGAGTTTGATGAATGATGTCTATGAATATTCAGTAGCCCTTACTTTACATAGATATACATACGCCAAGTTATACATGTATATACCGTGCAATCTATTTCGTTTTCGTCGTTTTGTAATATGTGTCAAAGACATTGTAGAACATACTTTTTTAAAAAGAGTAACGAATGGAGTTTCTTTCTCGTTCTTCTCCATTCGAATCTACATTTTGGAAAGAGCCCTAGCTTCACCTAGCTTTACTGACGGACTGACTGACAGACTATGGCAAGTTGTGTTGCCGCGGCACAAAGAAATTGACTTAACGGTGTGTATACAATGTGTTTTTATAATAACTATCGTGAGACATACTAAATTAAGTAAAAACGCGGGTTACTCACGTGAATATACTGAGAAAAGCTCTACTAGTTTCGAACCACAGAGGGGTTCTTCCTCATGAGCAGCGTGCGCGGTCGCGGCGACGTCGCGCAGCTCACTGGCTGGCGTTTGCGCTCGCCTCGGTGTTGCCACCTGCGCTGCGGGCCCAACGCGCCCTCTGTCGGACACTACGAGCGTTTGCTTCCAACTCCGGCAGCGCGTTGGACGAAGCTAAAGCGCACGGTACGTTCACCAGCGGCGCGGGTCGTGGGTTCGATTCCGGGTTCGGCACAAAGTCAGTGTTGCATATAACGCTTACTGTGTCACACTCCAGACTGGAGACGCTGTGGATCGACGAAGACTCCAAGCTCGGCTTCCACGCGGGTGGCAGTGCCCAGCCACCATCCCTGTTGAAGCACGGTCGTCGGCTGATCTCGATGGCCTCTCGCACTTTTCGCGGAACGAAGTATTTTTCTCTCGCTAGTACGGAGACCTTATCAAAACGTATGAAGTGAGCCGCGTCCGTACCACAAACATGTTCAGCCACTGCCGATGCCTGGATGTCCATCTTCTTCACGCTGCGTATATGTTCCTTTAGCCTGGTTGTGATGTTGCGACGAGTTTCCCCGATGTAACTCGAGCCACAGTCGCACGGTATTATGTACACTCCGGGTACAGCCAGTGGATCCTTATCTTTAGGTGAGCGTAGTAGTTGTCTTAGCTGACCGGGTGGGCGGAAGATCGTCCTGATGCAGTATTTACGGCGAAGCAGGTGTCCGATTCTGTCGGTTACTCCTTTCACGTATGGTAAGAACGCTGGAGTCCGTTCCGCAACTGCCGGTCGCTTCCTACTCGAGCTGCTCGCAAGTCGAGTACATTGACGCCAGTTGTATCCATTGTTTTCCAGTACCCGTTTTAAGTGGTGAAATTCGTCGTCAATATACTGGGGATCGCATAGACTCAGCGCCCGGTTTATCAAGGTCCGGGGAACAGCGGCTAGATGGGAGGGATGATGGTGTGAGTCAGCTCGCAAGTACCGGTCCGTGTGTGTCGGTTTACGATACACTGTGTGTGACAATCGACCATTTTCTTCTCGTCTTACGAGGACATCCAAGAACGGCAACATCCCTTCTCTCTCTTCTTCAGTGGTGAATTGTATACTGCCGTGCACTGAGTTCAAGTGTCCCACAAATTCAGCCACATGTTCCCGGTTGACGATCGCGAACACGTCATCAACATACCTCCACCAATGTCGCGGTCGTACCGGGGCGGATGCCAAGGCCTGACCCTCAAACCACTCCATGTAGATGTTAGCCACCACCGGCGCCAGTGGCGACCCCATAGCCACTCCGTTCACCTGCAGGTAGTATTCCCCTCTCCACAGGAAGTAACCTGTGGTGAGACAATGATTAACACACGCGATGTATCCAGTAGGTAAATCAGTGTCCTTAAGTATGTTGGTAATTATAGATATCGTTTCATCTACAGGAACATTTGTGAATAGCGATGTTATGTCGAAACTTATCATAATGTCTGTGTCTTGGAGGCGAACATCTTCCAATAAGGCGACAAAATGGCGGGAGTCCTTCACAAAGGTGTTTGTTTTACCGGTAAACGGTTGCAGTATAGTAGCCAAATGACGCGACAGGTTGTGAGCTGCGCGACGTCGCCGCGACCGCACACGCTGCTCATGAGGAAGAACCCCTCTGTGGTTCGAAACTAGTAGAGCTTTTCTCAGTATATTCACGTGAGTAACCCGCGTTTTTACTTAATGTATACAATGTGTTTATGGTAAGTATATTTTTTGTTATTAAAGAAAGGGAATACCTATCTATATTTCTGTATGTGATTTTTCAATTTTAACACAGCGTTCAAGTTAGAATAATAATTTTAAATATAAGACTAATAGTAAACTAACAGACAAGGTGTTGCTTTTAATGTATAGAAAACGCGAATATTATTATTTAAGATTATGTCCCTTACAATTTTCGTTTTGGATATTTTTTCTTTGTCTATACAAATTCTTTTTTCGCTCAAAATTGACAATAAAACTTATATTAAAAATATACTTATGATTAATATTAAATCTAAATAAAGAAACTTCTAAAAACAACATAAACAATAAAACTAAACTGAGTTCCGTAACTGAAAACCGTAATGTGAATTTCCCAATATTGTGCAAAGGGTTTCCTAATTGAGAAGCATTCATGGCACTCCTAACTCCTGGAAATCAGGCTATTTGATTACAATATTCTGAGTATATTGTAATATGGTTACCTAATAGAGTTGAAATAGGTACGATTGTATATTTGTACATTACAGTAACTGTAATAGTATTACCCAACCATAGGTTTATATCAAGCTAGCAAGAATAATAATATATTTCTGCTTACCAAGACCTAGAGACAAGTGATCCTGAAATACAGAGAATTCCTACAAAACATTTTTATTTAATACTAGCTTTTGCCTGCGACTTCGTCCGCGTGGAATAGTGACTTCCGGCAGAAAAGTATAGATAGCTGTGCCCGCGACTCCGTCAGCGTGTAACTCCTTGTGTATTAAGTTAATGAATGGAGTAACTTCTCCCGTTTTCCCAATATTTCCCTTCACTGCTCTGCTCCTATTGATCGTAGCATAATGAAAAGTATACTATAACCTGCCCAAGAGTATAAAGAATAATTGTGCCAAATTTCGTTAAAATCCGTCGAGTAGTTTTTGTTTCCATAACGAACATACAGACAGACAGACAGACAAAAATTTTTCTGATTGCATTTTTGGCATCAGTAGCGATCCCTAACCACCCCTTGATAGTTATTTTTTAAATATATTTTATGTACAGAATTGACCTCTCTACAGATTTATTATAAGTATAGATTTAGGATAAACGAATGAGATAATCGAACGTCATCGAATATGATAATGAGTTTAGCTTAATTTGAGAGAAACTATTTCGATCAATATACATATATATTATGTTAATTCATATAATTGATTGATTTAGTGTGATTGATAACTAGTTATATTAACATATTCAATATAATTGACAATTTGACGGTGTTCGATATATCAGTGAAATGTTTTGATATTAATTGAGTGGACAACGTGACGTGTCAATTTGTGAATTATGTAAAATTGTACTTATTAAATGAATTAATAATGATAGAGTGTGTTGTTGGTCGATATATTGCATTTATGACAGGTTTATTTTTCATGGGATAAGCCGGAACTGATCACCTGAAGGTAAGCAATCGTTGCCGCCAGTGGCGCCACGGATACCCGAAACACCAGTGGCGTTACAACTGCGTTATCGGCCTTTTGGGATTGTTTAGGATTTGGGGAATGGGGAGATTAGGGAGGGAGCTAATTGGGCCTCCGGTAACTTCACTCACTTCACTCACACGACGAAACACAAAGTAAGTATTTTTATATTAGGGCAATTCCACCACACATTATTAAACAGGAATGGTAGAAATGTAAAGAAACATTGAGGTAGGTATGCCATAAGGACATGACCATGGGATTTCTGGGTTAGATCATAATAGAAAATTTTTAAGCATGACCCTCATCATCAACATTATCATTAATATCTTCACCATCAACCGGTTTCCGTACACTGCTGGACATCTAATGACCCCTCCAATGGCTCGCCTTTGACCTCGGTCTTCGGGTCTACGCATACAACCACAGCCAGCCTGCGGATATCACGTCTTAGACCCACTCTTAGACTCATTGACGATAAATTGTCTTTTTTGACAAAACTAGGTTCTAATTATACGTCGAATCTATTCTAATGGTAAGCAAGCATGGGTTTAAACTTAGCCCAAACTAACTACGAACGCAATAATGTAAACAATATCTAAGTACCGATATTGTGTAGAATATCTTCAATCCATGCATTTGAAAACAAGAAGCGGATATTAGGTAAACATGTTTTTGTAACACAATACGAGAGCAAATTATATAATGTTCAACAAACATCTGTTTCATACAATGTATGGACTTTGTATGGAAGTTTCAAATACAACGATTAGCTGTGAATCAAGTGCTAGTATTAACGAGCATAAAACCAGAGTATGTATTCCCTAAAGTGACTAGTAGTTGTAACCTTTTTGTTAGAAGAAATACACAATATTGTTTTATCTCCACATACTTACGTGTATTAAGTAATTAATAAATCTATTAATTTATAATAATATTAGGTCTTACATTAAGCACTTAGATAATAATTAATTTAAATGAACAACATTTTAATGGTGCGTCCACATCTGACGAATGTGCTGCGAATGTTCCGTTCGTAAGTAAAATTATTATTTATACGAATCTTATGTGAGTTGAGCACCAAACCATTGCATTGCCGTGACTGCACACGCGCAGGACGCGAGCAGAACCCAAACATCTTCGCGGAACATTCGCCAGATGTGGACGCACCCTAAGATGTCACTACTAAAGATGGCACTTTTATGTAACTAAACTAAAATCTTACAAAATCTGCTGCACTGTAGGTCTCCTCTACGTAAAAAGATTTTGCCATAGTCCACGCTTGCCAAGTGAGTTAGAGGTGACAGTTTAAAAAGCAAATGTCTGAGGGTTTGTACCAGGGAACGCTGCTGTCCAATGCCAGCCAAGTACCTCTTATAAAACTCGTGGAAAAAGTAAAGAGTTATGACAAAATGCATCCTATTCCACCATAACCATTAGGCTTAAAATATAATTGGACGTTCGATGTGAACAGACGTGCATACTAGAAATATTGAATCAAAGCAATAATAGTGACCTACATTATTATTCTGCTTATTGTGATATCTCGTTATAAATAATGGAAATACAAACTTAGTTGTTTTAAAGATGGATTTAAATCCGAGTAAGCTGGCTTCCTGTACTTCACCATTAAAGAGCAGCCGTAATTCTGACTTCTCGATAGAAGCTGTGTCGACGCCCGATATTCAAAATTGGATGTCAAACATTGAAGACCTGTTACATGAAGTTTGCACTATTGCCACAGAGGGCAAACTTAATTCGGAACAAAAACTTAATATATCAAATCTGAGCCGAAAAATAGGTGCTGATGTCTCGCAAATGGCTGTCTTATATCAAGCTCTGAAGCAGCAAGCCCGTATAGCCGTTAACATTATAGATGAGATGAGAGAAAAGCAGGACCTTGTGGAACAAATTTCGGACATCAAGCAGACTATCAAGGATTCAAAATCAACGGGAAATTTTTCATTTGCTGACATGGTAAAGAAGGGAACTGACTTCGTGCGACCTACAAAACTGACTTCTATTGCAATTTACCCAGCAAATAAGTCAAAATCTAGCGATGAAACAAAATCTCTCGTCCAAAAAATCATACGCCCGGACCAATTGCAGCTACATGTACGTGGTGTTCGTAAAATCCATAATGGAGGCGTTATAATCAGCACTGAGTCCAAAGAAGATGCTAAGAAAGTTAAAGAAGCACTAGCCCTATCATCATCTGGACTTATTGCCGATGAAGCAAAGAAACGTAAACCAAGAATCACTGTCGTAGGAGTGCCGTCTACTTTATCCGATGCTGATGTCCTCAGGTGCATATTCGAGCAAAACATAGCTGGTAAGGTCCAAGAGTTGACTATAGAGTCTTTCCTAACGACTGTGAAGTTAAGTCACAAATCTGGCAGAAAAGATGCGCCGACTTGTAATTACATTATTGAAGTTCCGGCCAACATCCGTAAAGTGCTTATATCGCAAGAAAGACTCTATATAAACTGGACGTCTTGCCCTGTCAGAGACTTTACGTTGGTAACGCGTTGCTATAAATGTCAGCAGTATGGTCACGCGGCAAAGACATGCCGGGAGCTCCACTCAGTGTGTGGCCATTGTGGAGAAACAGGACACATGACATCCGTTTGCACGAAGAAAATCGACATCCCTAAATGTTCAACATGCTCTCGCTTTAACAAGCCCAACAGTCATAAGACAGGAGACGCAGAGTGCCCAGCCAGGAAGATAGCCGAACACAGATATATCAATTCCATTGATTATGAAGGCGCATAAAGTGACATGTGCTTAGTAGAAATTCCAATTCGATTAGTCATTACGTTTAGTTTAGTTCATTTGTACAACAATTGGATATTAACAGGTTAGCTTACTTAGCAATTTATTGCTGTCCAAGCACATTTGATCAAACTGTAACAAGTGAGTGACCGTATGGACTCTGACCTAGTTTTTTTGTGTTTCTGCAGACGATCTAAAACAATTGATAGCATAGTAACATGTAATATTATCTAGTTTATATATGAATATAGCTTACGATATTTACTTAATTTTATATTAATGTATTATGTAGGTTCAACTTTTTATTCTCCTTCAGGGAATAAAAAGCGTGATATTATATGTATGTATGTATGTATGTAGTGTAGTATATTAAAAAAACCAACCTTACTTCTGCAAATTATGTTAAATATTTTAAATATACTATAAATAAGTTATCTTACATTAACATATTTTTAGAGCTACTATCGCCTGTGACACAGGAATATTCCTAGTATA